TGCAAATGTGACCCCATTGCTTTTTTTTTTTTTTTTTTGTCTGCAAAGTCACTACTTTGCAGACAAAAAAAAAATGTCAGGCTGAAGACAGGTGATCAGTCAGAAAAGTGCAATCAGTTCACAAATATTTTCCACCCAGATGCTAGTCAGACTACATCTTAAAACCACTTTACTTTCAAAACCCATCCTAATGATTTTATGTCTGCTTTTCTAAAAAACTACATGCTCAGTGTGCTGCATTAGTCTTGTGTTTACATTAGTATGCTAATTTCCACCACAGACCATGCAGGCTGTAACAGTGACCTCCCATGTGAAACCTGTTAGGGTTCTCCCTCTTACTTCTGCCCCAGGATCTGTGGGGACTTTGCCAATGGAATCAGCTTTGATTGAGAAGGCTGAGATGAAATTCTAAATGGATTTGATGAAGTAACTCTGAGTAGCCACTGCAGGGAAGATACTAACTGCTCATAGCTTTTTAACAGAACTACGCTTGGTACTGGCAAGCAAAGCAGTTTTTGCTCTGGGACAATGTTTTTATTTTACAATATTTTACATAAATCTAATTATTTAATTTCATTTATAGCTTGTTTTTATAATAATCATAGGAAGAGTTAGCATCTTACCTGCATTAGACAGTGCACTGTACCATCCCTGTCTAGAGTCAGTGTAGACAGGAATGGGCAGGTCAAGCTAACAGCCACTGACAGGACAGTCCATAGGAACAGAAAGATGTGCATTTAACTTAAATAGATTAATAAATCTTTTCAGCCCTTTTTTATTTCTAAATTAAGCTCAGACTGATTGCTGAACTTGATCTGCAATCTTAACGCTTGATTTGGGTCTTAGGTGCTGCATTTTAAAATAAAGTGTCACATTTACATGAAAAGAGGTGATGGCAAATCTCAGGGCCCTCAAAAGATCAGTTTCATCTAATTCTATATTTGAAATATTTCCTCAATATTTTACTGCAACGCTTTCTTTTGCTGCTTTTCATAATGTTGCAAGTTTAAAAATCCTTCCAGAGCTCTTTCTCGTTTTTAAACTCATCTCTTCCTGTGAGGTTGATATTTTTTCCCTGCTGTGATCCAGCTTGGAATCACTCTGTGCAAATCAGACTGAAGCATCACCTTCTAAAGATGGAGTCTGGAAATTAGTGCTGGATTTATAAAGGAAGAAAATGTTTGTGAGAAACTTGATTTTTAAACCTGATCCTGTTATATTTTTAAATGCATGTCTGATTGTTGATCGGTGTTTTCTGATTAATCAGCATCCTAATAAATGATACATTCTTGTCTGTGGTAGGCATCTTTGATTAATGTATGTCTTATAAATCTCCTTTGCTTCCTTTGCTAATTTTGCTGTTCTTCCAAATTTCTTGTTTTGCATGCAGACAAGGCTAAGGGCATACAGATTAACCTGTCTGAAACCTTGCAAGGTAAAGAACACTAGACATGTTTCTCTTGTTGTTATGGATATTTTTATTAGTTGTTCTTGTACTCCACAGATGATTATTCTAGAATGCTCAGTATTGCTCAAACATGTTTACCAAGCCAAAATTCATTCTGCCTGGATTAGAACAGCATGCAGTCCTGACCTGCACCCCAACCACACCCCTAGTTAGAACATCTAGTGCATTACAAGGTGAATTGTAAGTCAGACATGACTGCAAAACATTTCCTTTAAGACCAGAATATAGTTTTGTTGTTGTTGTTGTTTGTGTTTGTTCTTTTAGGTAACAGCAGCTTTTTAATAAGTTATGTTGAAATACTAGTACATCAACAAATTAGAGTGTTGCATAAAAGTGCAATGTTTCGTACCAGTCATCTCAAAAACTGAAACTCATATATTCCACAGAATCATCACAGCGATTTATTCTAAGCCTTTTGTTTCTTGTCATTTTGATGATCATGGCTTATAAAAAAAACCAACTCAAAATTCAGTTTCTCAGAAAATTCTGTTGCTGTGAAAAAGCTCAGTAATGAAATCTCATGGTGAAACTGACACCATAATAAGTGAATTAACCTGCAAACAGCTGAAGGTTTCCTGAACGCTCTCTCACTCTGGGTCAGTCAGCTGCACAATCTGCTGACTGGACAGACGGCCAGAAGACAGTCATGGACACCGTCCACAAGGAGGGGAAGACGCAGCAGGTCAATGCTGAAGAAGCTGGTTGTTCAGAGTGTTGCATCCAAGCATATTCAGAGAAAGTTGAGTGGAAGGAAGAAGTGGTACCAGAAACGGGGAGGACTGACCTGACCTTTAACCCCACAAAGAATCTCTGAGATGTTGTTAAGAGAAAGATGAGGCCCCAGACCCAACAAGGCAGATGACCTGAAGGCAGCTATCAAAGCTACCTGGACTTCGTTACAGCTGAGCAGAACCACAGGCTGATCTCCTCCATGCTGCGCTGCGTTGATGCAGTAATTCATGCTAAAAGAGCCACAATCAAGAACTGAGTGCAGAGAAATGAACTGACTTTCCAGCAGCTTCATATTTGTGTTTAAAACATCCTTTTTCATTAATCTAATGTAATTTTCTGAGACACTGCATTTTGGGTTTTCATTGTCTGTAAACAGTAATCATTCAAAATGTAAAAAATAAAAACTTGAAATCTTTGACTCTGTGTAATGAATTTCTATAAAAGGAATGTTTCACTTTTGGAGATGACTGGTAAGAAATATTACACTTTTACACAATGCTGTAATTTTTTTGTATGTACCTGTTCTCCTTTGACCAGAATATTTTCTAGCATCATTTTATAAATGGGGTCTTCCTCTTTCAGTCCAGTTGTCTGGCCCCTCCCCTTAGGATCTAAATGTGGGGCTGAACCAGTCACCCAGCTGACTGCAGCATTCTAAAAGTTAATCATAAAATACAATTTCCAAGACTTTACACACACGTGGCTGTTAGACTCTCCTTCTGAAGTACACACTAAACTCCTGGTAGAAAAACTGGACAGTGATAACATGATGATGAACTTACAGGACTAACTTAATTTCTTTGCTTAGTCCAATTGGATAACATTTTCTGAGCTTCAGCAGGAAAGTAGAATGTTATCTGATGTCCAGAACAGTGTTTTTCAACCTATTTTGAGCTGTTAATAATGTAATTACATTATTATAATTGAAAAAATCTCGAGGCACACCACCAACCAAAAATGTAAACAAAGATACTCTGTAGCCGCCTATATTACATATATAGTCATTCTTATCAAAGTGTCTTGAATAGAAATCAAATAAACACAAAAATTTATTTTTATCATATTTTACATTTCTTATTTCAAATTGCACTTAACATGTCCACTTCAAAAATACACCTGAACAGGGTCACAACACTAATTCTCTTGTTTTAATGTAAAATGCTCTGTACCTACTGCCATCTAGTGGTAAGAAAATGACATGATTACGCTGCTAGTTACTACTACAGCAGAGACACTCAAAGATGGCATCATTTACAGATAATTGATTCGTTTTCAAAAAATCTTTTAAGACCAATTACCGTATTTTCCGGACTATGAGCGCACCATACTATAAACCGTACCTTCAAATTTTTTGAAGCCCCCCGTGCGCCCCGGAAACTTACATATATCAGCCGCACCGGGCTACAGGCCGCTGGTATCTCTGCCGCTCTCGGTTCCCATAAGGACCCAGCAGAGGGCAGCAGAGGGCTGCGTCCTAATAACTGCTGGATATATTAAGTTCTCCGTCTCCAAATCCGGTTTTGTTCACGCCGAGTTTACGTGCAGCGGCTTTATTTCCCTCCTGTTCTGCCAGATCGACACTCCTCAACTTAAAAGCTGCATCATATGAGTTTGAAAACATTTCTCCGTCGTGCCTCCTGCTAGCATGTGCTTGTTCTAAATGAAAATTAGCGCGTTCTTCTTTGATTTCCAATTTTGACTTCCAATGATTCACTTCCTGTTAAAGAGCCCCCTGGTGGTTGAAAAAAAATCCACAGAAAAGCCGCATGTTCAAAGTGTAGGAAAAAAGTAGCAGCTTATAGTCCGGAAAATACGGGAGGTGAAATTGGATAATTTCCACGGCACACCTGATGATCACTCACTGTACACTAGTGTGCCACAACACAGTGGTTGAAAAACACTGGACTAGACAGATGCAGTAATTCTGTTTCTGGATGGCTCTGTATGTTTGTGGCTTCTGTAGGTAAACTGGCGGCGTACGACACTGATGGAGATGGTGACTTTGATGTGGAGGACGCTAAGGTGCTTCTAGGCAAGTGGATTTATTTCTTTTTAACCAGCACTGCATTCACTGGTGATGATAATATGTGACTTGTTTTCATCAGAATCTTGAAACAGCCTTAATAATGATTGGATGATATTTCGTCTCATAACTTGGCTCAGATGTTCACCTAGAAGCTCATTCTTCTTGTTCCTTCTTTTCTCCGTAGCAAAATCAAATCAAGTTAATTTAGGAACATGTCTTTCACATCATAAAAACAAAAAGTACAAAGTCATAGAATACACAGTCAACAAATGAAACATTACATTTTGACAAGTGCCATCATATTGTTGATTAATGTTTCACTGATTACAGCACTTCTGACAAAGTTTCAGGATAAAACTAGACTGGCTGACAAACTGGCTCACGCTGTGTGCTTTCAAACTTTTGTGTGAATATCGTTCTATTTACAGTTTGCTTAGAAGTCATTTTGTTTTCCACAAAACCAGGTTGTTGGATTGATTTGCCAAAGCCCCCAAAACTGAACCAAAATTGGTCAATATGTAGATCTTATTCCAATAAGAAACTACGAGATGCATTTTAAAGCATTTCTTGTACATCGCTGATATTTTGCTAAAATAGTCGGTCATAAAGATGAATCAGTGTGCATGCGAATATAAAGAAACACTCTGAGGCATTTACTTTATCAGAGGAAGTTCTTGTTGCTATACACCATTAAAGCTGCAGTATGCAACTTTTCTAAAAAAAATATTTTTTTATGTTTACATTTTTAAAACTGTCACCATGTTGTGACAGTATAATATGAGGCAGGTGATCTGTCTCCATCTCCTCCCCGTGCTACTATTGCCATCTGAAAAAATGCATGTCAAAACAACCAAACGGAGCCAGAAACTCTAACTTTAAAATGATGTTTCATTTGGTGTCTATATTCTTTTTGGATTCTGTGTTTAAAGTTTGATTCAGTTAAATATTCACATTAACTCCTCAACTAAGCTTTAACCCCAGTCTCCTGTGCTTTGCTGCTGTGGTTCATAATAACACTGCGTGTCCAGATGTCTGTTTATCATTTCTCTACTTAAAGTTAACCTCCAAAAAGTTTGATAAGGCGCCTCATCAGGAAGTTATGATGCTCTATCAGCCATGTTTGTTTGGAAACAGTGGAGCAGAGGCCAGTGACTTCACGTAAACGGACTGCAGCAGTTTTAAGAAAATGTTAATTTTGAGAACTTAAAATGATGACATTATGATTATGTTTTGATTCAATTAATTGATTGATTTTATTTTTTAATAATTGTGATCAAAGCCCTGTTGACTTACCTTATGCAGCATGTCACTGTGGTTTAGAAGCAGAGAGGCTGCATGTTGATTTCAAACCTTAAAGTCACATTTGTCCTTTCAGAAATCAAACAGCTTAAACTTTTGATGAGAAGACACGTCAGATCCAGCTCGTAGTGTTGACTGTCTATTAGCTGCTACATTTGATCAGCTACCTCTCTATGCTGCGTTAATAGACCAGCAGAAGATTGTAGAAGATTTTAGTTTCAAATCTGCCAGCCACTGGGTTCAGCTGTTCAAACAGAAAACCTGTCACTTCCTGTTACTGCTGAGCAATCAGTGCAACTTTACATAGTAATTGTTGCACCATAAATTATGCTTAGCAGTAATTTTGCAAATAATATGTAGTATAAATATGTAATTATACTACATATTGTATTATAAAGGAGCAGAGTAAAATGCTTGTCTGGACCATGTCTAAATGTTCTCCTTGGTGCCCCTCCGACAGCACACAGTCCATCAGAAATGGAATGTTAGATTTGCTCTTTGTCCTTTTTAGATATGTTGAAATATATACAGATTTGGGTTTTTTACACATGAATTTTTAAGACGTATTCATGAATCAGATCTACATGAAAACATAATTGGAACTTTATAAATATAGGAGTTAGGCTCTTTTCAACATCCAAATAACGTGTTGGTTTGCTGGTGTTCTTCCACTGCCCATATAACAGATTAGATTTACGTTTTTAGCAAATAATTTGATTTATTATTTGGTATCCCTGTGAGGTCACAGTAAACCCAGCCTTAGTTTTCCTTCAGCTTTCAATGTACTGTGTGTCCATGGCTGTCTGCACGTAGCGATCAGTGTAATTCTTTTCTCCATAGGCATCCCTCTTTCTGTTAGCCTAGCTTTAGCCCCAGGCAGCGCTCCCAGTTGATCCTGTGCAGATGGTCTGACTGGTTCTAGTGGTGTGAACAGTTCCCTCGCCACCTAACCTTCGTTTTAAACTTCTCTTACCTTCTCCGTTTGTTTCTCCCCCTCCTTCTCTCTCCTCTCCCCCATCCTCTCTTCCCTCCTCAGCACATCTTTTTCCTTCATTTGATCAAACTTTCTTTTTTTTCCACCTTATGTATGTTGTTCACTACTTTTGGTTATCACCTCCACACATTTGGTCCCTGAACTCCCCCTCAAACTCCCCAACCCCTCACCCTCTTGTCTGCGTAGGCCTGACCAGTTTGGGCTGCGGTCAGGGAGAAGCCCAGGTTCTGGATTGGTTAGAAGAAGTGGAGGAAGGTGGCTCTGATTGGTTAAACAGTTTCTTCACTTTCCTGTACACTGTGATAAACCCACTGGAGCCCCTGGAGGACGAGGAGGATCATGGCACCTCAGGAGTGATGAATGGTCAGAAGGAGAATGAGGAGGAAGAAGATGAGGAAGAAGTCAGACAAAGAGGTGCTAAAGACGATGGAAATAAGGGTCAGAAGATCATCATAGTGGGCCTACATAACCAGTAGCAATGGCAGCAGCTGCTCAGAACAGTGCAGGGTGTTCTTCCTACCTGCTTTAGCAGGTTCTGTCTTTTATCATTTCAAACTTTTTATAGATCCCAATGTCTCCAAGCCAGGGTTTTGCTATCCCAGCGTTTTCTCTCAGTGGAATGTAGTTCCTTTGTGAAGAACAGCTCCATTCTGCACAAACCAATACCCTTCACTTCAGTCTCACCTGTTCCATTCAGGTTCAGGCCAGTGATGCAGGCCAGGTTGGAACTGTGATTCAGTTCCAATCGGTCAGAGCAGACTGACTGCGCCCCTGGCAGACTTGGCCAGCCATCTGCTGCAGCAGTCTGGGGGTGAGAGGATGAACTCTGATGGAAACCTGGACCTCAAACTTTACTGACTGAATTCCTGCATCAGCTGATCTTTTCCAATGATGTCAGCTCCTTAGCCTTGGTATGGAGAAGATCCTCAGGAACTCTGCTCTCACTTTCTCTCCATCAGCCCTTAAGAATTTAAACATACACTGCCTGGCCAAAACAAAGTCACCAGCTGAATTTAACTAAGCAAATTGGTCCAAACCTCCTACTCCATAATTACTGCTTGGGCGACTATCTTTCAGCTGACAACAAATTATTTAATATTTAGGTTCTCATGTCTTAAACCATGTAGAAAGACACATCCTGTCATTGTGTAAAAGATGTTAGACATTTTCTCTGCTTGGTGCAATAATTTGAGCCTTTTTGAAACAGACTAAATAGATGCAGAAATGACTAAGTTATGAACTGCCAAGGTTTTATAATCAGTTGAAGGGAAAGTGGGGAAGCATCATCTTTTAGAAAGAAAAGTGGCCAGAAGAAATGAATGATGGCTGATCACTGAGGTGTTCTGCTGGGTCGTCCTCCAGACTTCAGACCTGAACCCCACTGACACTCTTTGATATGTTTTGTCTGGACAAGCAGTGGTCAGACTCTCCCATCATCAATACAAGATCTTGATGAAAAGTTAATGCAACATTGGATGGAAGTAAATCTGGTGGCATTGCAGAAGCTTATCGAAGCAACTCAACAGCGGTGAGCTAAGGGCGGTCCGAACAAATGTCAGTGACCGTTTTGGTGGCAATTCTTTTATTTATTTATTTATTTTATTTATTTTTTGGCCAGTCAGTGTATATTTTCTGCACAAGCCTGTTGACAACAGCCAGTAACACTGTAAAAATCATGAACTGTGTTAAGGCTCTGCTGCATGCCAGAAATCTGAGCTGAAATCAGCTGCTACACACTTGTACAGTTTGCATGCATTTGTGCCTTTTTTATGCTTCTTTCAAGTTTAAAACATTTGGTTTTATATTGAGCAAATTTTCTTCACTGGTAAGAATAAACTTTTTGTATTTGGAATAAAACAAGATGTAAACATTGTAATACATGAATGATTAGTACCCATAATGCTGTAGGAATGTGGAAACCACAGCTGGAGGTGCTTCCTCTGGCGATGTGTGATGTATCTCAACGTCATACTAAACTGTGAAATATTATCAGATTAATGAAATTATTTTATGTCAGACACAAAGCCACACATTTATTCCCCAAAGAAAGCAGAATTATTGTGCTGAAGGAAATCTAATGAGATTTACTTAAATTACAGATTATTAACATTTGTGATGGGGAATATCAACTTCAGATTTACTGCAATATTTTGCAGTTTTAACAACTTTCATGACAAAGCTGGATCTAAAATTCAATTAAATCTTTTGGACTTATAACTTCTCAGTGCTTAGTGAAACCAACTGTTCAAATAGAGTTCATTACCATTTAGCCATGCAAAATAAAGATTCCATTCATTCATATTTTGAAACATGAATACAGCATTTATTAGTTTAGGGGAAATGAAAAAGAAAACATATACATATCTTGATGGAAACTCGTGTGTAGGGTCAAGGAAAAACTATATATTTATACTTTTATTTCGTATTATGTCAGTTTTGGTCCTCCATACACACCGACATGGCGAATGATGGTACATTGTGCAGCTCTAGTTTTAATGTCTCATACGACGAGATCTCTTTACACCAGATATCTTGTGTGGTGTTTTTGTAGTTGACTTGACAGTTATTTTATGTTACAGTTTAGCAATAATTCAGGGGGACTGGCTGATACTTTTCCTCAACTAAAATTTATATCTTCATATTTAATGTTTGTCAGTGTTGCTTTTGAGTTCTGAACTTTTAAAGGTGTAATATAAAGACATGAGGTGATCAGAGGATTGTTCAGGACTGCAAGTGTTTCGACTCACTAAATTCAGAAAATGTCAGTAATGAACACCTGTTGTGTGTTCTTCTGCATATAGTATCAAATGACTTATTGCCATGGCTAATTTGGTTCGTTTTTCTCCCTCTTCCTCTTTGTGTGTGTGTTCAGCTAAGGAGAGAAGGAAACACAAAGGAAGCAAAGCTAATGAGAGTAAATATTTGATGAATAAGAGCAGTTTTTTTAATCCTTATCTTGTTTTTATGCAACATCAGATGATAAACCTGCAGAAAGGCCATGCAGAGGAGTTAATAAAGGTATAGTTGCAACAGCCACACGCATGAAAATGTGCCGTGTTCAAGTGTAGCATGGACTAATGGATGAAGTAAAATCCACTTCTACGTGGTTCTGGTCTTGGACTAAATGAAGTGTGAGAATAAAACTACCTGTACTTGGTTTTCATTTGAATGAATTCTCAGTTTACTGGTTTGTTGAAATTTGCAGATTAAAATTGAAACCACAAGTTTACATATACAGAACACATACCCATGGTTTGAATGGAATCAGACCAACCCTCTCTTGCTTTAAGTCAGAATGACTACTTGATAAATGAATTGATAAATGAGAATATGTCAGATTTATTTATGGATGTCTTCAAAATCAGAAGCTTACTGTATGTTTACTGTCTCTATAAACGATGAGGGAATGTCCAGATGATGAAGTCATGGCTTTGGAAACCTCTGATTGGTTCACTGACATATTTGAGTTAACTGGAGTCACACCTGAGGACATTCTTCAAGGCCGTGGAACACACCGCTTTCTGGTTTGACACGATGGGAAGGTCAGCAGAAATGAGCCAAGATATCAGGAAGAGAATCATGGAGCTGCTGCGTTCTTCTGTTGAAAGGAAGTTAAACTCTGGTTGTAAATTTGTCTTGTAGATGGACAATAACCCTAAGATACAGCCAGGTTACATAGTGACTACAAAGTCAGTGTTTAGGTGTTTAGGTTTAGGTGTGGTCATGAGACCCTGTAGAGAATGAGAGAAGAGAGCGAGCGAGAGAATGAGGCGGCCTACAAACCTGACTCGGTTCCAGCAGTTCTGTCCGATGGAATGGACCAGGTAATGCTCCCAAATATGGAGGAAGTATGTAAACTTCAGATTTTAAAGACCTTGATAAATACGTTTCATAGGCTTTCTCTCATTATTGTGGGATTTGGAAAATAGAAATGAAAATAGTAACTCAAATGAACCTAAAACAAGAGAAGTTTGGTCTGGTTTAACTTGAGACAGTGAGGAAAACAAATTGTCTTTTATTCAGTGTATGTAAACTTCTGGTGTCAACTGTATTTGCTGTGGATGGACATCCTGAATTTAAACTGATTTTCCCATGGCTGCCTGCTGTGAACCTGAGCATGGTGTTGCTCCTCATCCTTCCTCTGATTGGTGCGGCACCAAACAGTGTTGTTGATGGTTCTGTCCCAGAATCCCCTTCACCCAGAGATGTTGGCTTGAAGCTTCGGGAGGCTCTGAAGCAGCAGCTGGCAATCATCCATGAACGTGTGGAGGCCAAGAAGATGGCTAAGCTGGCTCTGGCTGAAGTCAGGCAGCTGCTGGCTAAAGAAGAGGAGGAAAAGGAGCTGGACCTGGGCAGGAAGGAAATAACTGCCAGGGTGAAGGAGAGAGTGGCCAGCAGACTAAAGGAGGAGGAGGAAAAGCTGGAGAAAGAAGAGATGGAAAAGGCTCTGGAAAAAGTGCAAAAGGAAAAGGCTAAGCAAAAGGAGGAAAAGGAAGAAGAGACCAAAGATAAGGGAGGGGAGAAGAAATCAAAGAAAAAAGAAAAAGTGCTGGGAAATGAAGGAAAAAATGAAGAAAAAGTGAAATTGACTCTCAAAGAAAAATGGAAGAAAATTAGAGCTGAGAAATCTGTTAAAGGAGGCAAAAAATAAACTCGGAGCTCTGTTCATTTTATAAGAAAGGCAATCCCAGTCACAGCCATTTTTGATTGGTGGGCTGGTAGTCAATATGTTATATTGAATAGTCGTTACCTGTGTAATAAATACCAGAACCTCAAAATGATGGGACTATAGCTCCTGAACTGTTTTACCTGTGATTCCTGCTTTGTTTAAATATGACCCTTTAAATGGAGGCAGTGCAGTCAGCTGATCATTGTATGGAAACCAGTCCTTCCATTTGCACTGTTGTGATGAGTCTGATGCAGCCTATCAGAGCAAGGAGTCATGAAATCACACCTCAATAACATCTCATATTATCTATTTTTGCTCTTACTTTTTTGTGAAATTAAAAAATCTAATTGCTCAATAGATTTTTAAGTGTCTGAGTGTAAAATATTAATATTCACAAAAGCTTTAGGTGAGATCAGTGAGAAGGCTGAAGTGTTTCTGCTTGTAATTGTGTCAACTCCTTCTACAGAATTTCCCAGAAAAATGGATCAGACTGCCAAAAATCAAGCCATAAATGATGTTTTCACAGAATTAAAAAGAATTTTCTATTAAAAATGTCATAATTTTTATGTTCTGATTCTTAACATTTACAGAAGCATTAATGTTGTAGCCTTTAAGGCTAAAATTACTTAAAATAATAGATGGAAAACAAACAAAAAAAATAGTACCTTAAATTAGGTACTGTTTCTCATTATCTATGATTCCTAACACACAGCACATCAAAGCAATAATCATACTTTTAAACTTGATTTGGTTGTTTTCAAAAAGAATTGACTAGACTGAAGAATCGAATGCACCTAGCTTGTAAGATGGAATAAATTGATTTTTCTTTTGCCAATAAAGATCGTTCACTGATTTAAAACTCTTTTTTTATATTTTTTGTTTAGTTTTGTGTTCTTTGTGTCTTCACAAGTAAATTATGTATCAGCATTTGTTTGATTTCAATGAAGTTGGAAGACTTGATGCCATAGGATAATAGCGCTCCCACGCAGCCTTCCTGTGCATTTAATTCTGTTTCATATCCATTCAGGATTCAGCAGAACACTGAATTCCACTGCATCAGTCTCGGTATACATGCTCTATTCAGAGCAGAAGTGCATCAGAAACAACACACATGCTTCAAACACATTATGGGACTTGATGTTTCTCAAATTCTATTCCATGTCCTCATCTTTTGACTCGTGTAAAGCATGTTTTTTAAATCATGTTTTACACAATTGTCACAGGAAACTATGTAACAGCAGCTTTAGGTCTTCACTGTTAACTTTACAAGTTTTTAATTACAATTCCATTTTCTATACACAGCTCTGTTGACAATACTTTAGGGTAGCATCTGTAGTTACACATTTTAACACAAACATGTTCGTGTGAAATCCTGGATTGTACTTAGCTAAGTTGGTTAACAGTGAAGAAAATGGAAAAACATAATGCAGTTCAAATCTACTGTAAACTGTAAATAAAATTATTGAATTGACAAAGTTACAACAAAGTGTTTGTGATAAGCCATACTTTAACAATACTAGAATGTTGAAATGCTGGGAGAGGCTGCTGACTGCAAAGGAAACCAAAACCATTAAAACAAGTTGATCAGAAACGTGTAGTGGGAATGAAGACTGTAAATACCCAGGGTTTATTGCTAAGAATGCACTGAAATATAGTGTATTGGGTTTTAGTGAACAAGCACATGAAGTCCAAGGAACACAGCAGGGAACTGAAAACTGAATGTGGGGGAGTTTTAAACTGGGTTTAGTTATGAAACAAGACTCCAAGGTTTAAACCTCTCGAAGATGGAAAACCAAAGATTTACATGGCTGTCCACTTAAACCGAAAGGGAATCAAAACGATGAGTGTTGGAAGACTGATCCTCTGAACACACCCACTGCACCATGAAATGGCAGAATCTTTCTTCAGGGGGGCTGGGGGAGCTGGGGAGAGGGGGCTAATCAAACCGAATGGGAACAAGGATGGAGGTAAATCCAGAACACTATAAGACAAGCTGCTGGTTGTTAAAACAGACTAGTGGACCACCAATGAATCAGCCCCGATTTCCTTAGTTTTGAGTAATCAGTGATCAGTATTTTAAAATCAATTATTCATTCATTAACAAAGTCTCTCTTTTTTAAAGACCTTTTTAAGTCACCATACAGTATTAAACAACCCTTTTACTTCACAATTTGCTGTGGTGTGGTAGAAATCTAGAAGTTTCTGGTCATGATGTGACAAACTGAAGGGGAAAATGACATGATGTGGATACCTTTGAAAGGCTCTGCATACATGACAGTATAACACAAACGTGCACTCTTCATCTGTTCTTTACTCTTACATGCCACCTACCAACAATGTGTGCATTATAGGACTGAAAGAAAAGGCTGCTGACGCCTTCACCCATAGTGAGGATTCTGCTCCTGCTGTGGATGCTGAGGAACCTGAACCAACACCAGAAGGTACCACCTGTTCCAGGTTTGACCCTCAGCAGCATGTCAGGGCCAGGCTGGACTGAAGGCCTCAGCAGGACAGTTCCTCACAGGATTTCAAGCTTAGCAGATTAAGATTTTTGTTGTCTGTAACAAGGTATTGATACATTTCAGAACTGGTAACAGTTTGGCTCTCAAATTAATTTATATTAGAACCACATGGGAACCTTTTATATTTGAACTTGGCTTTTCGGTCTTGTTCTACCTATTTTCAGATCTTATTTTTGCTGTTGCAAATTTTATATTTTGTTTTTAGATTTGCATCTATTGGTTTTACTTGAGCATAAATTTATACATGAAGGGAATAAAACAGTTATTACATTATGGACAACATAAAGATGTTTAGAATTGGATCCTGAAGCACTCAGTTACCAGACCTAACATGGGCAGTGTTGGGTTCCATTTCATTAGTTGGATCTACAGAGAAATCCAAAGATAACAGGTTTCAAATTTAAAACTAGTGCATTACACCAAATATGTCGTTCCTAAACCATTATATGCTGCTGCAGATTAGCAATGCTTAAACTTGACATTAACAGTATTTACCTGAGCGATGCCTCATCCATAAGCAGATCCAGGTGACTAATTGTAGGTTTTCAGACAGCCGCTGAACTATAACTCTCTTTATGTCCTGATCTTTGCTCAGCCATAGTTGAACCGGACCCTGAGTCTGTGGAAGATCTGACAGAGGATGTGATTGAAGCTGCTGTGGCAGAGGAGACTGCAGCGCCATCACTAGGTGACTGTCTGCAAATGGTTTTATTATAATAAGTGTAGATCTCTTCATTGTTAGCAGGGATGTTGAGTGATTATCTATGCCAGGTGTCAAACTGGAAGCCTGCAGGCCAAATCCAGACCACAATGTTATTTATGTGACCTCCAATTAGAACTTTCAAGTACTAATGAAAAGCAGACAGCTATTTGTCAATTTTTTTAACAGTTCATTAGTGGGCCATTTGATCAATAGGTTCTGCTACAACCAGCTGTTTTTAGATCACTCATGATCTAAAAACATGATCTTCATGTGACCCGAAATAAAAAATGAGTTTGACCTCCTGCTCTGGGCTGATAGTAGCATATTCAGCCAGTAGAAATCTGATGTCCCACATCAGCACCATTGGCTGAATGTGGACCATACACAGCAGGTTCTAATGATCCAGGTATGGGTCTGAACTGTGAGGGGGTTCTGACCGACTCACAAAGCTTCATGGACATAGAACACTTCTCTGCTTCTCTGTCCTAGAAGCTGAACCTGAAGTACCTGCTGAGCCTAAGAAGGTGGAACCAGAACCAGAACCCGAGGAGATTCCTGAGGTTAGAACAGTCCAGCAAGTTAATCTCCAGTTCACTTTTTATTTGGGGATGTTGTCTGTCTACTTACATGTTGAAACTGAAATGTTTTGTCGTTTATTGATTGATTGACCAGAAACCAAAGGAATTATGGGTCGTAGACAGTCTGGTGGATCAGGTAGTTGGAGCTTATTAGCCGACTTGCTGGACTTTTATTCTAAAACTGACCCAAATTAGTTCCAAGAAAGTCATCAGAAACGATCTTGGAAAAGCTGGCCACGCCCAGCACTACACATTAAAACAACAGCCTGTCTGCAGCCTCAAAACCCTTTGTGTGATGGACACTAAGCTTAATGAGCTCCTCCTGTCTTCACATTCTATGCTCACCAGCTGGGCATTAATCCCAGCCAGGTTCACTAGAGTGGGTGGGATTCTTCACTACTTAAGTAAAACCTTAAGACTGGAGCCAGTGTGTTTTCCTTTTCTGTGTATTTATTGAGGAGAAATGGTTCATCCCAAATTCCCAGAATAATACTCTTTGATGCAGGATACATGTATGTAATACCAGTAGCGGAACAAGTCGGCGTCGGACCGGGAAGCGGGGCTAATGACCGGGCTCTATACCCAAATAATAAAGCTCATGATAATTCAACTTTACAACATAGACATGTCCGCAACAGCGAAGCTAACAAGTTTCATCACCACAGAGAGCGACTATGTCATTCTGAAATCCATCAGACATGAAGTACAACAAACCAAGAGAACAACAGAAACATCAGGCTACTGGTCACTAATGATGAACACAAATTCAATTCAGTTCAGAACCACTGAGAGCGATCCGATCATGTTGACACTTTATCAATTTCAACTCGGAACCTGGAGCAGCTAGCAACTGCTGAAGCTAGGTTTATTGTTGACGCGTTGAACCTAGCACGCAGCAGCGCGCGCTAAAGCGGACACGCAGCGGCACGCGCCGCGTGCGCAACCTGTTGCAGCGCCTCGTGGACCTCTGGATGTTTGTTGCGGATCGCGCGCGCCGCCGTTCACAGAAACTGTATGATCTGGAAGATGCGGCTCCAATGTGAACCCTTCACTATAAACGCCATACTGCTGTTTCGGCCTGCGACAGACTGGCGACCTGTCCAGGGTGAACCCCGCCTCTCGCCCGGAACGTTAGCTGGAGATAGGCACCAGCACCCCTCCCGACCCCACTGAGGGACAAGGGTGTTCAGAAAATGGATGGATGGATGCTGTCTCGGCTCACAGCGCTCAACCCGAACTGTTAAAACTGCGACTATAACTCAGCCTTCAGTCCCTGACATCACCGCTGTACCACCGAGAGAGAGAAAAGGAGATGTAAGCTCGGCGGCTGGGCTGATACAATTTACAATCAGTCTACAATTAACTCACACTTTGTGAATAATATCAGAGTTGCTACCTGTAACTAGTCCGGCTCCTTCGCTGGGCTGCCAACAAAAAAGTCTGGTTCATCTCCAAGACAAAATATGCGTCCAGGTTTTGGCTTCTTTCCTCTCTTTTTTCCATCCTTTTGACTTTGCCGCTCCATGGAGCTCCAATCAAGTTAATTTAGTCTGTAAAAATACTCTAGTTAGTTTGCCATCTGTTATCAAGTGATGACGATGGTGGACAACTGGTGACAAACTTTACCCAGAATACACTTGGAGACAATAAGGACGATCCTCTTGTAATTTTGTTTGTCATAAAGTTTAAATGTAAACTTTACGACTGTAAATAAAGCAGTCATGTAGCACAACATTTTGTTCGATATTTTACACCCAACTTGTAAAGTTTTTCGTAACCATGAGTCAACAATGACTGGGGCAGCCTACTATATAAACTACTGGGGCATCGTTCTATGTAATTTTATATATACCTTCTCCACCTCTCAGACATATAAAGGCTTGGATCCCTGAAGTCATATTCAGCCTCCCATCCCCCCCCCCAAGACCCGCCGCCGCCCCCCACGTCCCCCATAGCTCCGCCCCTGTGTAATGCAATACATATTCGTCTTGCTTCCAGTTCAGAACTTTTCTTATCAGTTTAGTTAAATGTTTGATTTCAAGTGTGTAACATTTACATGGCTGTGTGTGATGTTTTAGGTGATAGAGGAGGACCCAGAGGTGCTTGAGGAGGAGCTTCCTGCTGTACAGGAGGACGCACCTGTGGAGGTCTGTGATATGGTCATTCTGTTACATCATGGTGGTAATAACTGCTTTTTAATGTGACTATTTCAACTGGAAGTTTGGATGTGGAATAAAATAAATAAAAATATCTTAACTAGGTTCAGGTGTACTGCTATACATTTTAGCAAATACTAGGGAGAAAAATCCTGCTTTTTAAATCTACACTCTAAGAAATAATCCTCTAAATTCACAGTAACATACTGGCAGCTATAGACGCCAGAAGTTTACTGTAAATCCACAGCAGCTGTACCGTAATTAATCCTGACGGTAGATTACTGTTCTGTGAAAGAACGGTAAACTATCGTTTTTCTGAAAGAACGCTAAAAAAAAATACTGGTACCTACAGACACCAGTTTTTTTTTTTTTTTCACCATTCTTTCAGAAAAACGATAGTTTACCGTTCTTTCACAGAACAGTAATCTACAGTCAGGATTAATTACGGTACAGCTGCTGTGGATTTACAGTAAACTTCTGGCGTCTATAGCTGCC